CAGGTGCCTTACTAGTAGTAACAAGAAGCTACTAGGAACAAGTGCCATTGTTTCACTGACTTTGAGGTCGGAACTCCCCACGGCCAAGAAACCAAAGCTCAACAGCCCAACCTAGGCACCGTGCGAGCAGGGCGCAGGCGAACTTCACAGGATGAGGACGGGGTCATGGACTTAAGGCATGCTTCGCTCCCTCGGAGTATCCCTTTGGGACGGTACAGCCTAATACCTTTCTCTGCAAAGTCAAGCTTTGGAACTGATCAAGACAGTGACGCTAAAACAGTGGTTTGGAGTATGCTGACTGGTTAATCACCAAGGAGCAGCAATTGGCCAAGGACAAAGCACCAAAGAAGTATTCAAAGTTCAGTCTATAGGCTGTGGGGTCCCCGGAACAAACTATTCATTCAGAAACACATCATTACCGCCTATGATTGCAAACATGTCGTACGTCATCAACAACTGCGCATGGCTCTCCGGGTTCGTGCTCAGTGCGGCCAGAAACTCTCCGGCCAAAAGAGCGTGAGATCGCGTCACAGAAAAGGGTCTCCTCGGTTTACCACGCAGATCGGCTCAATCCAGATTCGAACGAATCATCGGGGTTAGAGTTTCGCTTAGCACGACGATCTCAGTGGAAAGATTTCGGTGAATCAGGAAAGCAGAAGGGCGCGACATCGAAAAAGCATGAAAAAAGAGGGCCACCAAATGCCCACACGGCCAGTCTAATGACAAACCACCGGAAACAACGGCCTCTCATCTTTCTCGTTGTTTCTGGGAAGGGCCCGCTCGGCGTGCGGCCCCGCTCGGCGAGATTCCCGCGCGTCGGAGCCAGGCATCACCGAGAGCAGAGACACTGCCGCAAGTGGACCTGAGGAGATAGAAGGCCTGCACCTCACCGCGTGACGCGTCACGCGGGGTTGGAATCGCGCGGGAACCGGTGAGAATGCATGGCTGAAAGTCTTGGCACATGCCTGGCTGACACAGTGAGGTGATAGTGACGTGAGCATACGTGAGCCCATTCAAACAGGGAAACAGTGACAATCACTTGGGCCGTTGGTGAATAGAACATAATAAAACAACCCTAAGATATTTCCCTCCTTACTTACCAATGTTCAGAGATATCGTTTCTAAGGCTAGCCGCTAGAACTCGCACTCACAAACAACAAATGTGATTGTCATCAGTTGCAGTGGCGTCACCCAATCTATGTTTCACCGACTAGGTGTGATACCGACACGGCCTTGTTCAGGCCAAACACTTTTGCCAGTCGAACAGGAAGAGCATAAAGCTCTACATAGGCATACCTCAGCACGACTTGGAGCCACTGCATATCTTCAGGAAGACCTCAAGAACCGTGAAGTAAATGCAGGGAGAAAACTTGACGAAGAAAACATAGATGGCCCACAGAAAAAGCGTTCTATGTTTAAAGACATGCATGTAATATAATGTAATCATACCTCTACCGTGATGGCTTTGAATGCTTTGATTTTGCCCGATGCATTGTCCCATGCGGTCAACTGCTGGCACCCTTCTGAGTGGTTGGACGATCTCAAGGCAAACTCGGGCGAGTATTCCTGACGCATGGCGGCGTGAATTCAGCTGCTACATCATGCTATACCCTAACCTGCCAGGAACCACAAGTCAGCACGACAAAAATGAACAAAACAATCTTGCAGTCACTGCGAATGCAAAGGAGTAGTTTCCTGCAATTTCTTTCAGGTGGGGTCAGGGGCCTGTTCCAAACCCAAAGCATGGGAAAGGTGGTCCCCAACACCACGAAGAGGATGCGAGGGCGGGAAGCGTATTCCGAGGAATGTTCAACAACGTGTGCAACAAAATTCTATTTTTTACTAGTAGTAAGGCACTTGTTTCTAGTAGCAAACCTTGTTCCTACTAGTAAGGCACTTGTTACTACTAGCGATGCACTTGTTCCTATATAGTTGATTTTTGGTCCGGATCCTGAGGACACAAAACAAGCACGTAGAAACAATAAGCTAGTAGTAACAAGTGCCACGCTACTAGTAACAGGTGCCTTACTAGTAGAACAATAAGCTACTAGTAAGACGGACTTTCACTTTCTCAGAGTCCAAGCGTCCCATGTCTGCATTCCACTGCCGAAGGTCACATAGTGGATGGGTTCCTCTCACGCACGGCGGCAACTGGTACAGCAGTTGTTCAACTCATGAGCACTCGTCAAACCAAATATAAATGCACGTATTTCATCCATTGCCTGTGTGCTCAGCTAGGTGAGGTCAACCAATCAGTTGGCAAAGGTGCCCAGTCGAAACAGCTTGTTTTGTCTTTTGCACGGCTGGCTCTCCAGAATTGAGCAAACCGATCTGCAGCCAAGTAGCCACATAATTGAATGTCTCGTCACAATCCATAATCGGCGCCTCGTGACAAAAAGATTGAGGTGACAACACCTGGGTTGCTCTGGCCAAAGCAAACTATAAACTACACAGAACTTTGTGACCTTACCAATAATTCAAGCTGGGCTTGGCACTAAATATGCGCCAACCAGTCGGATCACAAGCAAGCAGCTGAGAATAAACTGCCTAGGGTCACCGGGGAAGCATTGTGAAGAACTAACTTCATGTGAGTATTGTCGAGCTAGGGCCGCTAGGGGTGGAACATAGCTGAACATGGTAAATGCCTGCGCCAAGTTATCCGCGTCTGAAGCGGCCACAATCATGACTCGTCAGATCTCGCCCTGCTACTGCACCCAAACAGGAGGACTAGTGACTATAATACTTGGATCTGCTGAAGGACCCGTAAAACTCTTTAAGTAAATGCATATTCACCAGAAGGGGATTCACTCATAGGGAAAATAGAAAGTCACCTTAAGCAAAACCAGGAAGAGCGTTTTTTAAACAATAAATAACTATATATGCATATCTAAATGAATGAATTCCATATATATACATAGAGAGAGATATATAATAGATTATGATAGATTATGTAAATCTAAGATCCGAACACGTCCGTGTCGCCCAGGGGCCATGATCCCAGCATGCTCGCATCCGCCATCGAGGTGTGCAACCCCGGTTGCAGATCAAGCCACGACCATGGCGGCAGGCCACATTTAGCAAGGTCAAGGTATGTGCCAACGTAGATATGATGGATGCCCTGCTTGAACCCAACTGTACAAGCTGCCATCAGATTGCTCGAAAGGAATGCCTTTGCCAACAGCAATCAACAGCCTGAATTTGTCTAGGGAAGTTGCTCCATCTCAAGTGCTACTTCCAGGGTTTCAAGAACTAGCTTTTGGTCTCGTACCATATGGTCTCGCGGCTTTTCCATTTTTGAGCTCGTGCGGAGAGACACTGCAGTGGCCAAAAGGATTTCACCAAGGTGTCTCGCCCGAATTTGTATTCTCCAACGGTGCCGGACAAAGAGTACGGTAGCAACATCAATAGATCTGACAGTGGATCTGAACGGTCCTCATCTTCATCTTCTGGGCCTTCCCTTGCCAGCAATTCCCCCAAAAGCCCCGACAAAGCAATGCATCAACTCTGTGCACACCTTCTTAAGAGTCTGAAGGCCAAACATGGCCAACTCTAGCAGTGGAGTGCTGAGGGTCCAGCTGCTGTGTGGCTTTGAGGAAGGCCTTCTGATCTTCCTGCCGTCTGGGGCAGGCCACCAGTGATAAAAGGTGGCCCAGGAAAGGTGCTAGTGAGGGCAATGTGAAGTGATCTGGAGTTGGCCTCCCTCCGGGGTGAACTGCAGATCAGGTGGGGCTGAGGAGCTTTGGGTCCTTATTCTGTGAGCGTGTGTGGTGGGTTGTTAGTGACTACTAGTGTTGGGTTATGGTGCCAAACTGGGTTTGGTGTGGTGCCCTTTCCTTTGGTCCACTTCAACTTGGCAGCATCGGGCACAAGCACTTAGCTAGACAAATGCAAAGAAATACACCCATTAAGTAATTAGAGATGTACAGTTTGGCAACACAATGGGACATGGTGTTTCTAAAATTTATACGCCATGGTCACCAATGATGCCCCTCCCAAGTGGATTCACGGGCCAATAGGCTCATGCAGTGCTGGATTTTCATAGTCCGCAATGCTGCCTTCCGCGCCAATGGTAACGCCCGCTTTGCACGGCGTTTGAAGAGAGGCTCCACCTGCAGGGACAGCTATTGCCATGACATGAGGCAGGAGGCCAGGTGCAGAACTTCTATCAATAAGCAATCAACAAACAGCACAGTATCACATTATAATAGTTTATTCTTACTATTTGTATGTCCGTTTCTTATTATAATGATATATATATATATATTATTGTTATGTTTGTCTTCTTCTTTTCTTCTTCGTTTCTTCTTCTTCTTCTTCTTCTTTTTGTCTTCTTCTTCTTCTTCTTCTTCTTCGTGTTCTTTCTTCTTCTGCTTTTTCTGAATCATCATGATCATGATCACCATCAGCACAATTGTTGATCATCCTCATCTGCATCCGCATCCTCATCATCTGTTCCGAACACATGCAAATTTGAAAATGTTGTGGTTCCTGAGCTTGTGTCTAAATGCATGAACCTCAAACACGCCTGAAATGGCGCTATATCTCCTTCAGTCGGAGTTGGAGCAGCAATTGAGTTCCAATGTGGGCATAGCTCGGCCGTCCCAAACTATCGCAAAGGGACAAGCACGCCCAAACGCGGATTTTCTCTCTAAGTCCCAGCCGCCAAATCCTTCTAGCACAATCATGTTCCTAAAGAACACAACACGTTCCAGCACTTGGGGCTCTGGCAGCTGTACTCAGCTCAGATGAGATGAGAGCCCGTTGCCAAATTCGGTAGTCATCCTGCAAACGGGCGGCATCGTACAGACCCACCATAGAGTCCTCTCAAAGCAAACCGGGTGCCACAAGGAGACGCATGAACACTTTGGTTCCAAGATATACCAACCTGGCATCTGTTTGGGGTGCGCTTTGATCACCAATTCTGAGGCCTGATAATCCTGGAAGAATGAAGAACTCAGGTCAAAGAAGGTCAAACACCGTAGTCCCAAGCGGTCCTGTAAAAAAATAGCCATCTAGGAACCTACAGTATTCTAGGTCATGTGCCAAAGAAGGTGTTACCAAGATGGGACACAAAGAAAAGGCATTGCATTCACCTTCGACAGGCGGCACGCCATCTTCGAGAAGCATTTGACTTCTCTTCCTTGATTTCTTGCCCTGGTCCGCCAGAACGGCTTGCGAGAAATGAAGCCGGGCCACAAACTCGAGTGGCGCACAAATGCATGCCGTACTGCTACCTGTCGGTGAAACTGCCACCGACAGAATGGCCAGTAAGAATGCCCCCCCCAAGAAAAGCACTAGAATGTTAGGTCTGTTTCACCGATTGCTAAGATGCATCGTTCTAAGATGCGTTATGCATCGGAAGCTACTAGGAACAAGTGCATCGCTACTAGTAACAAGTGCCTTACTAGTAGTAACAAGAAGCTACTAGTAGTAGTAACAATAAGAATTTAATTAGAATTGTAATTACACGCAAAGGAAACCATCGGAAGAAATGGCGCCCGACCAACTGGAAGATTGAGTTGTGTCATGTTCGGATCGGTTTTGCCGATCGTGTCCCGCTTTGCCGCCTGTTCTTTTTTTGTGCACCTTACTCAGACGGGTGCACAGTGGGTGCCCATGCGGCTTCAGACCTCTTTTGATAGATTGGAAGTGGAACCGCCAGCAAACGCGCCGAACATCGCCGAACGCACAGACCTCAGAGTATGTCCTAGAAGCCCACAGCGTCCACAACTCCAAAAAGGGTTCAGCTGCAGCAAGTGAACCGCAGGCCGCTCTCGGGAATCCTTACAGGCCCTGCAGCCATCGGGCTAGCGGCTGAAGGAAAACAGCCTCAATGACCAGAATCTGCACTGGCAAGAGTTCAATCTGCCTTGGACCTGGCTTCTTGTCCACGAACTCCCTCAATATAGCTGCTTCTAGCCTTCCCTTCCTGCATTCTGCGTCTCTTCCCATTCTCTTCCTTCCCCTGTAGCCCTTCTGTCCATCATTCAACGTAGATTGTGCTGGTTTCTGCTCCCTGGTTTGATGGCTCCTGTTGTCTACACGGAACACTAGCATCTCAAAGTCCTTCCACACACACACAAAAGAAACAGCTATATAATGTCTATTTGCATAGCCCTGGCAATCTTAGCCTGAGGGGTAGCAAGACCAGAGCAAGAACTCTCAAATCAGAATTGCCAAAATGAGCACGTGCCTTCAAGCTTCCTGTCAATGGCTGCACGCTTCTTTCTCGGTGGCTGCGGCTTAGTCTTTTCTTCGCAGCTTCTTTTTGGTAAGTGCCAGTAGGACTTCTGTTGTATTATTTGACCGTGCCATTCCACAAGTTTGTTTCTGCGACTCTGATCAACTCTATTCATTCTTTTCTAGTTTAACTCTTGTATCTTCCGATCCTTGTAGCTTGCTGCTTTATGCTTCCTTCGTCTTCATTCTTTCCTTCGAACTTCAACCTTTCTATTTTTACATGGTTCCTCTCCTTTCTTTGCAATCTTGCTTTCCTTGTCTTTACCCTTCTAACGTCTTCTAATTGTTTGTCTTGTCTCTCCCTTCCAGTCTTTCTCCTTCAGAAAAAAACACACTAAAAACAGTTTGTTTGAGCTTGGATTGTGAGAGGAATGTTTCTTGGCTCGTTGTTTCTAGGCTTGTCTTCAGCTTTTCCGCTTTCCTTCTTCACATCCTGGTGGACCGGCAGCCGGAATGATTTCATAAAGAGATATATGGGATCAGAAGCATTCAGCATTCCTGACAAAAGTGGCTCATACTTGCAAATTCTGTGGTTTTCTCCAAGCGGCATGTGTAAGAGCTGCTGAATAGTTAGAAATCCAACTTCAGTTCTCGCCTACTTGCTATGTGGACATGCCTTGACAAGCACAAGTGAGCCACTGCTACTGACAACAAGTCAAAATGCAAACATGTTGTTTTAAAAATTATAAAAGCCAAATTGGATGCTGCAAAATCAAAACTGCTCTCCAACACACTTGAATACACCCTGGGAACGCCTGCCTTCAAGCTTTCTTTCTTTCCTTTGTCTTACAGGTAGGACTTCTTTTCTTGCCTTTCTTCACTACTTGTTCGTTCTTCCTTCGGCCTTCCTTCTCAAATACGTTCCTTTCCTTCCATGCATTGCTACCTTCCTCCTTTCAGTTTCTTTCTTTGGCTTTCTTTTGCTTTCTTTCATTTGCTATCATTTGCGTGCATTCTTTCATATTCTTTCCTTTTCTTCTTTGCTTTCTTTACTTGGCTTCTTTACATGTCTTTCATTTCTTCTGTCTCGGTTCTTGCTTTTCCTTCGACCCTTTCCTCGCACCTAAGTTAACTAAAGATTTTTGATTCATTGCAACAAGAAGGTTTCTTGGCTCGTCTTCATCTTTCCCACTTTTCTTCTGCTTATCTTTCTGGATGGGCAGGGGCCGGGCACGTGAACTGCAAGTTGTTGGAAAATTGACCACCTGACATCGTTTGCACCTCTAAGACCGGGCTCCAAAAACACCCGACTTGTTTGACTCACATCGTCCACGCAAACAAGACACTGCTGCAAAATGCCTGGCACATGTAAAGACCGAGCACCTACTGGTAGAAAGGAAGAAATGATGCTCTTGATCAAAAGGGCCCACCACTTTGATGCCCCTTCACAAATGCCCCCCGCGATGCGGCAAAATGTGAACAGTGTAACTGTCCTTGGGCCTTGCGTTTGGTTTCGGCACGCATGTGTCCCATGTGTTTGCGAGTCATTATTGGCTTTCCGCTTCTTCGCTGGGCTTTCCACGGGCCTAGATCCATCAAACCGCTACATTGACAGAGCAACTCACTCAGTAGCGCCCCCATACTTATATATATATAAGATTAAAGCTTGAAACGCGTGGACAACTCAAAGTGCTTTCCCTTTCCACTGAGTGTATGTGCAAATCATACAATCAGCGTCTATGAACTCTGCTACCTGCACCTCTTCTCTTGCTGGCTTTCCACTCCCTCCATCTTGGCCCTTCCTTCCTCATTTGACACCAACTTGGTGCCCTCTCCTTCTGTCGCTATCTTTTTCATCTTGGCCACGTTTGGGCGAGTCAACTGAACTTAACTCCCAAGAACTGTTTCGTGGGTGAGGGGTCACTTGGCCTGACCGAGAGTTCGTTCTCTGGCCATGCTATTGACTGACCAGGCCCTGAGTGTAAGAAGAGCCACTACCAGGGACACCCGGTCACATAGCTCAGACACTGAGAGGTATTGAGTTTTATTGACTATTTTTGGGTCCTTTGGATCGAGTCAATCCTGGAAGCAGCCCTACCTTCGAACATCTTGGAACCTTTTCCGCTTTGCTCTTGATCCTCCTCTCTCTGGACGGTTCGCGCTCCGTCCTCCGAAACACCGAGCACCCGTAGCCAAATGAAGAGGATATGCCTTGGTTGATGGCACAATGCTGTGCTGCACCGGGTGCTTTGGCTGTGCTTTCTGCGGGCTTGATCTTTCAATAGGACACCCAAGACGGTGTTCAGAAAGGCTGGAGTGATTATGTTTAGAAACTTATAATGAGTTTCCAGATGCTTCCGGCCTTGATAAACCCAAGCCGCGATCTCATTTATTGTGCACTCCTATCCAACAGAATCCTCTAGAATCCAGGTACCTGGTACCTCATCATTTAGACATGCAACGAGCCTCTTCTTTTTTCGCGTTTGGGCAATGGGCGCCCCAATTCGTTAACGTTCGGATGGCCCGAGGTGAGTTTCTCACGGAGCCATCCGGGTGGGCCTTGGGCCCAGGAGATGGCCCAGGAGATTCCTGGCTTCGACTGGAAAGTAGAGACTTACAGAAACCCCACCAGTTGGCCTTTTCTTCCAGTTTCAAGGTCTAAATACATTGTCCCGACTCGACGCATGATGATGGTGTCTGCGACCAACATGAAACTGATGGAAACGGCCTTTTGTACTGTTGCGACGATGGACCCACCTGCCATGCAACATAAACAACTACACTCACCTCCTAGACCTGGGTTTCATTGGGTTTCACAGCTCCAGACCGCCCAGGGCTTCAGCATGCCTCTGCCAAACACCATGAAACACCATTGAACAGACCATGCAATACCATGCAGTATTGCCAATATTGCATCAAATCTTTGTGCCAAACATGTGACTCCACTGTGCTGACAACCCCTTGACTTCCATGAAGCCAGGAAACAACCGTCACCGCCGACGACTTCCATGACGGCAGGTCATGGGCCGACGTTCGACGTGGGCCGATCGGTGCCGATCTGTGATCGTCCGCACGCCCTCAGCAGCTGGCGAAGAAGTCGTCCCATCCGTTGCCGGGATCGACGTAAGGCAGTTCCCGAGGGTGATCCTCGTGGCTGTCCACCCGGCAGGTCACACGCGACCAACGAAACCAACGAAACGCCATTCGTTTCGGAGGGAAATGTTACGGACCTGGAGCCAAAGACACCAACCAAAATGATTGCAAAAGAAAGTCTGGGTGATCTCCCAATTCTATCATCCAATATGAGTCTTGTGCCCTTACGCACATGCTGTCGGCATGCCATTCTGGAGTGCATACTTCCATATACTTCCCGCACATTCTTGCGGCTTTTTCCTTACACGTGTCAGCATTGCGGCACTTCCACGGGCTCTTCTTTCCCAACACCTCGAGAGAATAGCTGCAAGCTATACGGGTTCTTACTTCTCAATGGTGTGGCTCTGGATCAGCGTTTCGTTTTGCCCGTGCTCATGCTGGTGCTGCTGCTGGATCGGCGTTTGCTTGGGGCTTGCTGGTGCTGGATCGGCGTTTTCTTGCGGCGTGCTGGTGCAAGCGCTGGTGCTGGCGCTGGCCCCTGGCATGACATGATGTCATCCCCACAATGGGAAGCGATGCATACCACAAAGAAACACATGCAGCATTGTGTCAGGCACCATAGGGGTGGACATCGTCCCTGCCCTGACAGATGTCATCCCTGGCAAGATGAACAATGCCCTTGGCACCGCTCATTGACAACGAAAGACGAAAGCTAATAGACATTTGGATGTCTTGCTTCAGGCACTATGAGTTTTTTCCCCTATACACCCGCTATCTAGGGTCTATGCCGGTGTAATTAATTCGTTTTGGCGGCGAATCATCACCCAGGCACATCGGCATTGGCAAAGAAGTTTGCCAGGTCCCTGTTACTCCGCACTTGCGGATTGTAGGGTGCTGGTAGGCTGAGATTCTTCATTGCCTTAGACCAAGCCGACTATAATTTGACCAACCCTTCAGGCGCACCAATGACAGTCTCTACGACCTTGCTCTTATTGCCTCGCAGCTGGCATTTCTTTGAACCCTCTACGTGCAAGCCCACGCTGCAGCATGATCGAAGCCAGAATACCAGCTCTGCTTCCAAAGATTGGTCAGGCCTCCGTTCATCGCAGGAAGCCTCTTCTCAGGCATTTCTCGTAGCAGCCTGAGGACACGGAACGCCATTCGACGGCCAAGGTGTCCATGCCAAATGGGCATGCAAGCAGGGCAAGTGTGCATGACCTAGTCTTGCAGCTCGGTCTGTGGCCACTGCACCCCTCTGATTCATGGTTTTGACATGTTTTCACCACTTCCTTGCCGTACTTCTGTTGGCCGGCTGGCCCCTTGATGAGATCCTCCGCCGATCCCATCAGCAAGGCTGGGAATCTCACTCGCTCCTGAGGCAAAAGTTGCAGTGCAGCCACTGCGTGCAGTGAGAAAAAACACGGGGTCATGGCAGTGTGAATCACACATGATCGCAAATGATATGCTCGGATTCTTTGTGCCAGGATGCATACGTACCCTTCACCAGAATAGGTTCGTTGATTGATATCAATTGTGGAGCAGCATCAGGTTGCTCCATCTCTCGCATGTTAGGACTGTTGAGGGGCTTTGGAGTATGTCGTCAAAATTATTATTGGATGTGGGAGGAGGTGCTCTATTGTCAACCATGAGGCATTCCCTCCATTGCCCTGCCTGTCCGCAGGCTTCAGGCATAATTAGGTGCCAAACATATTCGGAGACTTTCACCTATATGATGTGTTCAATGTAGCGGTGTACAATTCTTACGCTGTTCTGAAGTTTGGGCTTGGTTATTCATGCTGACATCTATTAGCACATTGTCAGACCATACATTCCTTCCACACTCCAACACTGCTAGTGTTGTTATAGGCCTTTAGCTATCTTTCAATGCTTGGGTTGTAACTTCAGGAATTCAGCTAGCACTGAAATGGTTGTGTTGAAGATACCCCGTTCTCCATCTGATGAAATCTAGCTGTCGTTGGGATGACCTTGGGACCTTGGGTCACCTTTCGACATGTCCCATGAAACTCCTTTGCCACTAAATGCGGCCATCCAAAAAGTCCACCAAAATCAAAAAAGAAACACTGTCACACTCCGGAATTTCTGGCTGAACCACAAATGCCACCAGGACTGCCTAATCTGGGCGGCCCATCTTCCAAAATTCGGAAGGGGTCTGGGAATATAGACATCATCTAGTGATGCAACAGGTCAGAACCAATCCTTTACATGACGCCTGAATCTATTGACAGTTGTTGCTAAACAGAATGAAAACAAAGTAAACAGAATGCAAAAAAAACAAAAAATGCTGAAGAACTACAGTTTTTTATGTGCAACAAAAGCTGATTGGTAGCTGAACCACAAATGTAAACCAACTCCAACTCAACTACTGTAGTGTGGCACTTGAAGTCCACTCCAAAAACAAAATGATCTCACCACAACAGCAATCGCTCACGCTGAAGTGTTTTCCATGGCGTAGCCACGAGGTCGTTGGTGCCCACCCTCTTTGGACCGAGATATCGAACATATATCGACATGTCGATCACACGGAAATCCGGATGGATTTTCACATGGGGGGAAAAGGGTCTTGAAACATTTCAACATTCTAAATTCGAGGTCACTCTTCGGTGGCATCTGTGTCTTCGTTCCAACCATGAGGAGGTGTGGGAACGTCGCCAGCGGTATCTTGCAGCAATTTCTCCCATCCTTGTTCAACACTCTCTGGCTGTTTCGAATCGTCCGGCAGTCGTTGTAACAATGCCATCTTGCGCCACCTTCGGTGTAGAAACACAAGCCAACTCTCATCCTTACGATTCGTTGGCGAATCCGATACAGCTCATCTCGTGACCTTTCCACTTCTTCCTTCAGTTCAATGTTCTCTGTCATCAGCAGCTGAATCATCTTGGCTTGCCTATACAGAGTAGTAATGAACCGACACCACTTGCACATGCACTTCCACAACACAACTGCGATCAACGGCGTCCCAACAATCAATGAAATCACTGTCACAATGAAAGCGTAGTCCACTGCATAGTCAGCAAAGAAGGACTCCACCACATCAACTTGCTCACCCACTTCGGTCATGTTCTGAGCGGCTGTCTGTGCAACATTGCCCAATGCAACAACCATTGAGATTCTTGCAGCTATCCAAATGTTTGAGCTGTCGATGCTTGTCTTTCCTCTTTGTTCTTTTTCTTTGCAGCGACGTAGTTCTCATCATGAACAATGCTGAGCCATCCACTCTTCAACATCTCTGCTAGCTGTCGCCTTGTATGCGACTTTCAGCTAACATTCTTTCACTGCTACCCAACGAAGCTCTGTTCGAAGCCTTTTGATCTCTTCTTTGATGCATCGAATTTCAATACCTGCTCTCTTGTCTGCTGCACTGCCAATGCCATCCTTCTTCAAACTATCGAACAATGCTTTGGCATCAACAATGATTGCTGATTTGCAACATGCTGCAGCTGTTTCCTCGGACATGGGACCGAGATCAGGATTGATCATCAATGCTATCATTGTTTTCACCATCATCAACTCGTCCAATGCTGTCGCACATGCCTGGCTTTCTGCACTCAAGCTTGACCGACAAACTCTGGTCAGATTGAACGAACGCCAACTGATGACGTTGTAGGGCACATGCTCTCCTTGCAACGCACGGGATGATGTCATGACCACAATGCAGCCTCCTTGACTGCTTCCATCACTTCGCACATTGAACGCAGCATCTGAAAAACACAACAAGCACATGTCATCACCAAATCCGTTGCAAACTGCTGTCACGTTCATCTTGAAATCTGCTTTTTGCTTTGCGAATCGCAACGTTTTGTTCAACTCTGAAAGAAGCTCCACCGTTGCTTTGTTGATGTTTGCTGCTGTCAATGAGGTTGAGGCATTCAAAAATGGACATCCTTACTTCTGATGCTGTCAACGGATCTTTTTGTGCTCGACCTTTGTGAATTGTAATCGGCATCACTTTCTTCATGTACTCTTCAAAGTCGAGACTCACTTTCTTTCCGTGCTTTGAAATGCGGCCTGCGCAATAGATGATGTCTTCACCTTGTTTCAACTCTTGCCACTTTCCAAAATCAAATGCCTTTCTGATCTCTTGGATCTTGTTCACTGCCTCGTTGTCCTTCATGTTGAAACTCATCAAAAGATCATCAACGTGTACAATGACCAAACCCACCACCACCTGCGATGAGTTGTAACACATGTACGTGCATTTGCACAAACGATGTCTTTTCAAGTTCAACTTGCGAAGGCGTCGATCTGCTTCTGTCCACCAAAGTAGTGGAGCATCACACAACCCAAAGGCTGATTTCTTCATCTTCATGTATGTCGGACCTTTGGTTCCCAACATTGCACTGCAGTCTGAGGGCAATTTCACAATGATCTCTCGATCAAATGTTGCTCCGGACAAAAATGCTGCCCTCACATCACCACAGAAAATTGTCCAATCAAGCACTGGTGTCAATGACAAAAGAATCATCTTCGACGTTTTGCTTGCTGTAGGACTGTTCTTCTCCAAGCTGAGATAGTCGGGGTCTTGGAATCCACGAAGCACGAGACGTGCTTTTGCTTTCCTCTGAAACTCTCCATCTGCTGGTGGCTTCCAAACTAAAACCCAACGGGCAGTAATCACCCGACTCGTCTGGTGTTTGCCCAACTCCATGAACTCCCACACCTTGTTGTCGAAGTACTGCATCAACTCTTTTTGCTTGGCTTGAATCATCTTCTCTTTCTCTTCTAGGGTCATGTTCTTCTCACTCACTTCAGCCAAAAATGCTTCGTCCAACTCAAATTCGCCATCAATCAAACACCATCCTTTTGGCAATGTTCCTGACTCCATCTCAACAATGAAGGCGTCCTCAATGGATAGGTCATCATCATCAGGAACGGGAATTTCTGCCGCTGAGGAATGGCGAGCACGTTTCATGGCGGACTCAGTGACCTCTTCTTCAATCTCATTCTTCATCTCTTGATCTTCTCCGGTCACTGATGGACATTCTGGCACTTCTGTGGATGGGGCAGCTGACCACATAGGTCGGCCTTCTTCACTTCTCCCACGCTGATACATCAGCACAGCACCTGGAATCTCATCATCTGGGATGATCACTGGTTCATCTTCACGATCTGTCGGTGCTTCCGATGGCTCATATTCAAGAAGATCATCTTGTTCATTGTCCATCAAATCTTCAAGCTCATATTCTTCGGGCTGTTGCAACACATCTCTGAACTGTGTGGTGCTTCGTGCTCGTAGTTCCTTCAAGTCTTCCAATGCAGCCTTGGTGTCAACTGGTTTGTGTAAGCCTGCATCTTTCACAAGAGGTCGTACTTGATGAGGAGAGCAACGAAGCAATGAGGTTCCATGGCACAACCAAAGCACGATCTGCTTGCCATCTTCGTCTCTTTCTTCAGCAACACATCTTGCAGGACCTCTCCACTTGTTCTTCTGAAGAATTCCGGAACGTTGAATCCTCCAATAGTAGCACAACTGTCCTACAACAATGTAGTGCTTGGTCTTCTTGAAATTCTGAAGCATTGCACGACGAAGACGAGCATCGGAATCTGCTTTCAGAAATGCCATCTGTGCTGCTAGCCTCTTGGCTTGGATCTGATTGAAATCAAGTGGATCATTCATCGGTGACAAACTTGGATTGAACACTCCTGCCGTCAAACTGTATGTGTCAGCTGCTGACCTGCCCAAAACCCACTGCGCTGGTGTAAAACCTCGGGTGTAGCTCAGTGAATTGATTTGTCCTGGACAGTAAATGGCAGCTTCTTCGGGTGTTTTCTTGTCACGTTTGCCACGCTCCTGCATGTAGATCTCGAGGCTTTTCCTGACCACTTGATGCTTCCTTTCAATCGAGCCAATCCAGTTGTGACTCTCAGCGGGTGCTATCTCCAAAATCACATTCCTTTCAGAACACCAATCTCGAAGATATTTTGCTGCAAAGCCTTTTCCTTCATCAACTCGAATGTACTTGGGGATGGAAAAGTGTTGATCCAGCTTCTCTCAATGCCCTTCACTAGATCAACTGAACGTTCACTCTTCATGACGCGAATGGCCACATATCGTGTTGCTTGATCCATCAATGTCATGACACAGACACGACCATCATCAGTGTCAATCCATGCAGTGTCAGCCATGAGCCGTTCTCCAAACACTCGGGCCGTTAGGCCTGCAGCGGGAGGAACACCTGCTTTTTGGCGAACAAAGCATTCCGGACACACATAGTCCTTTGCAGCATTCATGACATTCTGTGTGGCCTGAACCTCTTCAAGCATCTTGCACAACACATTCGAACCAGGATGGCCCAAATTGCGATGAAGCCTGACAACATAATTCATAGCTGCTTTGCCAACTTGTCGTCTCAACAGTGCATTGCTTGTCACGGGATCAATGTTGCCTGCACCATCGTCAAACAACTCTTTTGGCAACACATGTTGTTTGTCATGCTCCAACACTTCAATGTGCTGTTTGCTCTCGATTTCCGGTTCAGCCTCTGGCATCTCAACATCTTCATCCTCTTCTGCAGCAAAGATCTGATCATCGGTTGGGTCTTTCTGCATCAAGTAAGCCAGCTTCTTTGCCAACTTCTCTGGATAATCTTCGGCTATCGAACTGCGACTTCTTCCGGCATTGTTGCCCATTGCAGCAGCTGCTCTTCCTTTTGGATTCGGTGCTTTGCCGCCCTTCGGATTTGCTCGATTCTTGCCTTTTGATGACTTGGATTTGCCACCACCTTTTCGCGCTGGACCCGACGAACTGCCAGGCATGTGTTGTGGCAGCATGGCAACAACTGGATAGAAGCCTCTGGAGTTTCTCAATGCATTCATCTTTGCTTTTGCATCCTGGTAGTTGGCGTAGATGTCATCGAACTCATCAACATCATACACTTGCTCATTGCTGTCTGCAAAAGCGACTTCATCATTTGCATCTGTCATGGTGTCCTGCCATTCATCCCAATCGAACTCTTCACCGTAATATGTTGGGGAGGGATCCATTGACACTTCATCGGATACAGCTGCCCAATCATACGACAGGTCTTCATCACAATAGTAGGTGTCGATGGGTTTGCCAACAGGACGGGACCACCGGGAACTTGTTGACTGCAATGTCGAATCTTGTCCAAGGATAAAGCTCATGGACTTCATCACTTCCTCAATTGTCAGTCCAGTCGTCCCAGTGTTTGTAAGAATCAGCTGTCGCTGCTCCTTGGTGATGCCGCTGCGACGCAAAAACCACCATGCACGGACCTTTTCCGGAAGATTGACACTGTGCGTCACCTGAAGCCGTCGTTCACAACGAGTGTAATCGTTCATGCAATCTTGAAGTGTCTGATGCGGCTTCCGTTGTAGGCGAACAAAATACTGCTCAAAATCATCCGGCAATTCAGTCAAAGGATTATATTTGAACCCTCGACCCAGCCTCGTGAACAATGTATCATATGCGTCTTCTGCAGCCATTTGCTCCATGCTCATATCTTCAACCAAGTCCCAAGCCTTTCCAGTCATCAATGTAACCAAATTATACACGACTTCGGAACCACGGTTTCCAATCTGCATCTTCTTCCTATAAATCTCACATCTCTTTCTGAACTCCCTGTAATCCTGCATCTGGTTGCTAAAAACAGGCACATAATTGTCGAGCTTCGCGGTGCTCACCCCACTCGGCACTGATTGCGGACCGGCAGTCTGCGAACCAGAACCTGACCCTGGACCATTGGCTTGTCCGGTCTTTGGAGGCATAGCAACAAACCTCCGCGGATGCCCCGTAGGGCTCCGCTACCAACAACAAAAGCTGATTGGTAGCTGAACCACAAATGTAAACCAACTCCAACTCAACTAATGTAGTGTGGCACTCGAAGTCCACTCCAAAAACAAAATGATCTCACCACAACAGCAATCGCTCACGCTGAAGTGTTTTCCATGGCGTAGCCACGAGGTCGTTGGTGCCCACCCTCTTTGGACCGAGATATCGAACATATATCGACATGTCAATCACACGGAAATCCGGATGGATTTTCACAATATGTATATATATAATGTGTGTGTTTGTGTGTGTCACCACCTGTTTTCCAAGGCTTCCGCGCGTTTAATTTACCAGAGCAAAGAGAAAAGAAAAGCAAGAGGAGATGTTGCAGGGGGGCAGTGAATCTCACTCCACCCACTGCCCAACGAAGATAGTGGTTTGAGATTGTGAAATGACTCCGGGACGCCGGAGTCACGTACCTGCAAATTCTTTCAGGCCTTTCTAAAGTGCTAACGAGCTCTCATCGTTTCACCCATGTTCAACATTTCTGGTACTCCGACCCAGCATTCTTTCGGCTCTTGCAAGTCAAGGTCTACTGCACCGGTAATGTACTCACTAGAGTGGAACTTCGTCAACTGATCCAGCTCTTGTGAGCAACGTTCTAAGTGTGTGCCCACAAAGTCCCACTGAGGGCTGCGGTGTGATCCCCATCGAGGGGCCCAGATCTGGGGGATTCCCACTGATTTCTCCCTCGTTCCTCCTGTGAACTTCTCTCTGATTCTGATTGAATGCCGATTCAACGCCGCAGGGCTTACTGAGATTGAATGCCGCAGGGCCCACTGACTTCCCTGCGCATGTGCAACCCACGAAACGACACGAAACGAACTCAGAGCGTCTAACGACTTCCAACGTTTTTGCTTGAGGCCTTGCGGAGAGTGAGAAACGTGAGGCCTTTAGGTATCAGGTGAAGCTTTAGTCAAGGGAGCGCTGTATACGGCTGAACGTGACGTGAGGAGAGTGAGAAACGTGAGCGGGTTTTCTTTTTTGGTCCGTTTGGTTTTTCTTTCCTGCTGTTGCTTTTCGTTTTCTTGAAGCCTTTCTTTAGGTTCTAGGTGCCTTTCAGTCAGGGGAGCGCCGGTTACGGCAGTGCCTCTGACCCACCCCAACCCACCCTCCCCCCGTCCCCCCCCACCCTTGCACCTAATTCGTAGTTGCTATCCCACCCTCTAATTGGGGTACCAGAAGGAAATCGCACTCAACACACTTACACTTGTGTGTTGGTGCCTTTCCTTCTGTTTCTCCTGTGCTAGTCTTTCCTACCCGGGCGGTCGAAGACTAAAGTCCCGCTCGCTAACTAGCGCACCTAATTCATCCGGCTAAGTAATCAGTAACTAGAAGGTTTCTTAACTAGTGGGCCTCGTAACTACTCCTATCTTTCTCTCTTGCCCTCTTCGTTTGCTCTTTCTGTGTTTTCTTAGTCATAGAGATTCTTTCTGAGGCTTGTTAGGTGGCTAGTAATTCTCTGGAGCGCCGATATCTGCTCTCTGTGTGTGTTTGTGAGTGTCACCACCTGTTTTCCAAGGCTTCCGCACGTTTAATTTACCAGAGCAAAAAGAAAAGAAAAGCAAGAGGAGATGTTGCAGGAGGGCAGTGAATCTCACTCCACCCACTGCCCAACGAAGATAGTGGTTTGAGATTGTGAAATGACTCCGGGACGCCGGAGTCACGTACCTGCAAATTCTTTCAGGTCTTTCTAAAGTGCTAACGAGCTCTCATCGTTTCACCCATGTTCAACATTTCTGGTACTCCGACCCAGCATTCTTTCGGCTCTTGCAAGTCAAGGTCTACTGCACCGGCAATGTACTCACTAGAGTGGAACTTCGTCAACTGATCCAGCTCTTGCGAGCAACGTTCTAAGTGTGTGTTAGTAAAAGGACTTCAGACCATACCTGATTAGATAGACATGGAACAGCAGCATCAAATCAAACCCCATCAGAAAATGAACGGGTGAAACTTTAGAATGTAGATCCATTCCTTCTGTCTAAAAGGGAGGGCACACTAAATGTTCCACACTCCTGTTTGGTGAAAGGGAAACTGCGGTCCAAGATGCGATGCCTTTGTGGATCTTGACAAATGTCCTGACGTGCTGCGGACTCGGCATTCATGAATTCGAGATGCAGAAGGTTGCACAAGGTGTCTGGCTATCAAACATGTTTTGTCGAACTCATTCTCAAGCTTGGCCACTTTCGGCACCATTTGTGGGCCCACGAATTTGTTGCCAAGGTTCTGGAAGGGATAGGCCGACTCGAAAGGCGGCTTTCCAGCAAGCAGCTCGAACACCAAAACCCCCAGGGCCCACCAATCCACGTTGCAGTCATGCCCACAGGCCTGCCATGGATGGAAAAAGACGTTGGAGTAGACTTTCAAAGTCTCAGATGGTGTGGCTTACTGGGCTTTGAACAAAATCTAGACCCTCAAAGTGTACCAAGGCATCGGTCATGGCCTTGAGCTTGACATGAATCGCGGTCTTGTATTGTTGCACTAGCCAATGCTGCAAGTAATAGGATCACACACAAGATCTCCAACACTGCAATCAACCAAGGAAAGTGTTTCCGCACTTGGATGGCGCCTTCACCATCTCTGGTGCAAAGTAGTCAGGCGTACCAGTGACCGTGTACGTGCTATTGGTAGCGAACTTGGCACAGCCCATGTCCTCAAACCCGGCTGCCAAATCACCCGACCCTACAGCATCATGATGCTTGGGCGGGTAGGGATACAGTAGTAGTTAATTGTAGGGTTTATCCGGAATACTCGGTCTCTTCCTGCAAGATCTGCAAGACTCGCTTCAGAAACACATTACTCATGTCAATTACTCATTGATCTGCCAAGTCACGGACAGCTTCACTTGACCATTGTGGTCCAGAAGTATGTTCCTCACACAGTTCGTGGCTGTGGAGGCATGTTCAAGGCCGCACCTCCAACAAATAGATAATAGATGATAATAGTCAGTTCGCCACATGGGCCAAACTTCAAACATGGAACACACACGGAAACGTCGGCCTGCTCTTGGGAAGGCCCAGAACTTCCCTACAATTCTTGTCTTGCGCAAGGCCATTTCTGCCAACGCGTGCAGGCGCAGAAACAACATCGCTGGGCCAAGCATCTCAGGCTTCACATCTCTGTAGACGATGCGTCGATCGTGCATGTGTTCCAGTGCAAAGGCCACCCCAGCAGCATAAAACCTGTCAGCCGATGTGTCCATCTGGGTGGGGTGGGACTTCCGTTGTTTTGCCAGCTGCAGTGAATTCCGAAAAGGAACTGTAGAACTTCTTGGTCCCCCAAAGATGAAGAATTTCTGGGAAGAAGACCTCTCAGTGAATTGTGCTTCTGGGCGTTGGTAATCTGCATGATTGACAGAACAGCAGTGCGGAACTCATGTTCTGTTTTTCTCCCTCCACATCGCCTGGCATGGCCCTCGCTGCCAAATAAAGAGTGCTTCTTGTAGACGGTGAAAAGCTCACCACCCAGGGCAGCCTGGCCACTCAAAACGAAACTGCGGAAGGTCTACTTCCCCATGAGAACTGGCCTCAACCTCAACACTGCTTCCGGCGTACACACCCCAAAGCTTGGCATTTCAAATAGAAGGAAACATCCCTCCGGGCTAAAGCTGAATCTCCAATGGGCTCTGTATCAGTCAGTCAGCACATGACAAACACGCCTCCAATAAAAAGCAAAGCGATTTGGGGGTGTTGTAGGTCTCCTTGGCCACGCGTCATGGGTCGAACTGCCATGCACGTGGACGCGGCAATCTAGTTGAATTACCGAGAAGGAACGCAGCAGGTTGTCATCACGTTTAGAGGAAGGAGTTGGTTCCTGCCATCTTTTCTATAGGCATCAATGACCAGGCGCACTAGAACCAGGGAAAACCTTTCTCAAACTGTATTTGCAAGGTTGTGGCCGCTCTGGTTTGGTGGCAGGTCCAGGCTTCCGGAGGGCAACGATGTAGACTGTATATATACTATATGGAGGTTACTCTTTCGGTTTCGCACTGTCCACCCCTGGTGTCGCACAAAGGGTGCCTCATTCAACTTGGTAAGTACAGCTTCTACGTGATCGGTACTTCAAGGCTTGCAAAAAAGACCGCATAGACACGCTCATGCACAGAGAAAAGAGATGTCCGAATCGGTCGCTGCGGGAAGCAACTACGGAACCAAGTGGCCTGGGTGAGGTACAGGCGTCAGTAATGCTAGAGGACTTTAACCAACGGTTTCAAGAAGGTTTCGATAATTAGTCTTTAAATCCCCCAACTTCTCCAAGTGCGAATTCAGGATTTAGTCGCAAAATCATGCCCATGAATCAAAGTCGCAAACCAACTCACAACAGAGAACCAGAACATAGCCAAAAGCAGGGGCCAAACAGCTTGCTACCCACCAGCTGCAGTGTGCGTACATTATTATATTTATTATATATAGTTATATAACTTAACTTTATATATAGCTATATATATATATATGCGGGTAGCATTTACACTCCTGCGGAGCTGGTCTTCGTTGGCCGGGGCGGCCTCTATATGTCTCTGTCACAGGCTCCTGGCCCCCTGCTACTTATACATTTCTCAGCCATACTTGGGACTTCAAGATTTCCCCGCATGTACTGGAGAAGGATGGATCGGCAATTCCGCTGTATCCGGTGGCTGCTCAATGTTCTAGCACTTTGCAATACAATATGCTTCATGTCATTGTGATAGCGCTCGACTGCACATATGGATGGTATTCCCTCATATTCCCTCAACAGCTCGAAGACTCTAGCTATAGAGCATGGTTACGGCTACAGAACGGCGCAACAGTATCGTAAAGCAACATGTGCGGGCACACCGGCGTGGCCAACTCCAGGATTTCACTAAGATGTCACAGCTTTGTCTGTGTGTGTGACATACACGCAAACATACATCGCATGCAACATCCGTGGTCATTGGAACTTTCATGGGGCTTTGGCACAGCCAAGCCACGAAGAGCTTGATGATGAATGGAGAGCTCGTCATGTACAAAACATCTTTCTCATTGGCAATGGCTCCTTTCATTTGAGATTCCCATATGTAGCCTCAAGCAGTGCAGCAAAAAGAAGACAGAGTAAAAGGACTTCAACTGGGGCCAGGTCGAGCAATTGCAGGTAGGTGGCCCTTGCTGATGGATTTCAAAGCATAGGTGTTTCCAGAGTTCCCATGCTGCACTAAATCTACCGTCGAGTATCCCCCACCTCGGTCGGGGTGCAATGAATCACAGCCCTTGCTTGCAGCATCAACAAGTGCAGTTTCGGGAGTTACTAGAAAGCTTTCTTGTTACTCTTAGCGATGGCCTCCACCCTAATAGCGATGGCCTCCAACCTAATAGCGATGGCCTCCACAAAAAGATTCCGGCAATGCCAATGCCTCTATTACCTACACTCCTGAGAGTCCGGCATCCCATGCGGCCGCAGGTGACCAACTCATGCCGGTAGATCCTGTCCTGCTTCGGGGACCGGGGGACTCTCTGGAAAGCGGTTCGGCAAAGTGTTTTTCAATGTTCTTCATCGAGCCGGCTGTCTCGTAGCTTGAAGCTGTGGAAAACCTGGGCCCTTGAGCCCTTGAAAGATCTGAAACTCGACCATTGGCCCAAGCCCATTCAGTGCTTCCAAGGTTCTCTATCAGGATCACCTGACAGGTTGACCACTGTCCGCTGTGCGCGGCTTTCTTGTCGACAGGTCGTCACGGGACAGTCTGACAAACGGTAGTAATTACATGGATGAAAAGCTTGACGTCGATAGAATGGAGGCCATCGCAGATCAGTTTGATTCACAAGGACACTGAGCTGGCGAACAACGGTTCCAACCCCTTCTCCAGCAGCCTGGGTGATGAGCTTTCTTCTTCTTGTCTGCCTGCTTCACAGCACAAGCGACAAACTCAACAAATGTGCTCAAGTTAATTATGTATTATATATATATGGATTTTATAGGTAATTGCAAATTGGTTGGAAAAGCAGGGAGATGATAGGAGATGTTGGAAATGAATTTTGTGACTACAATTTAGGGGGCCCAAAGTTTCGCCCTATAAAGTATAAGGATCCAAAAAAGACAAAGCAAAAAGCAACCACTATAAAGTGACAGGGTTCAATCATATAACATCTTCGAAATATAGGGAAGCCAGAGTGCGCTACAAAAAGGACGGTTTATCTTAAGGTATGTGCAAGATGAGTAACTAAACTACAAACCCTGGCAGTTCATGTTGCAGTGCGCTCCGCAAAAAACGGCAAGCAAAGTTTGGGCACCATCAATCTATATAGCTAAGTCTGATGTACTCTCCATCTCTCTCACTACAAAATGATTTCAGTACAACGTTGCTTATTTCTACAAGTTGACTGGCCTAACCTTCGGCTTGCTTCGAACACGTGACCAATTTTCTTTCTACAAAATGCTGGTAGCCGAGACTCTGTTTGGACATTCCCCGCGACTCAAGCATTACATTCCTGCAAAATTAAAGGACCCAACCCCTCCCAGAGACCCTCAAAACAAACTAGACCTTGGGCTCTACCATTGTGGAATTACTACCGGGATGTTATAATTGCCATCAATTGCTGCCAGGGGTCGGAGGCCGCCAATACTTCACCGAATCCAGAAACTGTCCACTTGTATTGATCCAACCAAATGGATCAATACCTAGCTGGATCCCTTGCATGGATCTATACGAATCCAATACTTAGCTGATAACAGTTAGTTCATCCATGGCACTTTCCAGTCCATAGTCTTCAGCGCATTCCTTGGCAGATTGGACGGTCGGACGAACATCCGAAGAAAAACTGCCACCCCACGCCGCTTCGCCCCTGGTCGCCAAGGGCGCAGAGCGGATCAGCTGAGAGGCTCTAAGACTTCCCGGAGCAAGCCCAAGTGCTCATCAAAAGCATCCTGGAGTCCGCTGGTAACGTTCACCCGTGGGAGGCCTGTGGCGCCTGTGGTGGCCCTTGTGGTGGCCCTTGTGGTGGCCCTTGTGGCCCTCCTACGAACAGACTAAGCCGGTTCGCGTGTTGTTTTGCTAAGGGGTACCCGCTCGCGCCCGCACAGACAAAACGGTTAAACAAATTTACCGTTTTTGCCGCGCGGGCCGCGCGGGTGCCTCGGCGAGACTCGGGGGAACCCCGTAGCTCGAGCAACACCGCTAAACCAGCACAGCGGACAGAATGCTCGTCAAATGGGCTTCACAATTGGGAAAGCTGTACTTCTGCCACTATGCCACTCTGCCCAAGGACCTTGCTCTCCCTAAGCCAACAAAAGAATGTCTAGGCAACTCTAGGCAGCTAAAATCCGAGAAGTACACTACTGATTCTCTGATCTACGCGCAGAGGCACAGCCAAAGAACCCAAGATTGACCATGCATGGACCCCAAGACATGCAGTCGCCTTTTTCAATTGGACAACAAGTGGCATCGAAAGCAGCCCTCCCACCCTCCAAGACAGGA